CAGTGAGGAGCTGTCTTGGCTACTACTGCACCAGACTGTGCTAAGTCCTGCTTCTCACCATGTGGTCACGGGCCAGCAATGTTGGCATCAGGTAAGGTTATTAAAGATATGGCTATCTGGCTTCGAAGTTGAGCAAGATCCTGGCAGCTCAGGTGTAAAGGTTGGCAGATAAGACAGGACACTCAGTAGTAAATCTCAGTTGATGACATTTTTTTTTGTGTGTGTGTGTGTGTGTGTAAGTGTATTTTCAAAGTAGTATAATTACTGTAATGTTAGGGATTGGATCTAAGGCCTCAAGCATTCCCAGCAATAAACTGAGATTAAAGGGCATGAGACTCCACACTCAGCATTCAGGGTTTTTTTTTTTTTTTTTTCTTTCAAATTTTGAGACAGTATCTCAAATAGACTAGGCTGGCCTTGAACTCCACAAGTAGGTGAGGATGACCCTAAACGTCTGATCTTCCTGCACCGACCTCCCGAATACTGGGATTACACGTGTGGATCACCTTGTCTATTATTTGAGGAATATGGGATGGGGTATTAGTTGTCTTAGGTTGACCTTGAACTAAGCCTAGATGAAGATGACCTTGACCTCGTAATTATGGGTAAACTTCAAGACTTCAGATTCAGACCAAGGTGTGCGAGGTGCTCTTGCTGTTATAATGGGTTAGATTCCTGGGAGGACACTGTAATTCCTTTACTCGTTGTGTGTCATTCCAGTGTCTGCCATCAGTAAAACTACTTTCCCAGGTAGCAAACGTTTAAGGATACAACGAACAAGCAAGCAAACAGACAACACACACACACACACACACACACACACACACACACACACACACACACACTCCACTGCTGATGCAGAATTGCTTCAAACATTGCAAAAAAAAAAAAAAAAGCTTACATAACCTTGATCCCTCCTATGGGTGTTCTAATCATGTCTCCTGCTTGGCTCCTAGCCACAGAGTACTGAGACCCCAGAACGCTTTCCCCTCAGCACCGTTTTTGTTCTACACCCATGGCTTTCCTAGCTGGAAAGCGCCAGCCCTCTGTTGGAGGCGTTGGGGGGGAGTGGGGGGGGGATTCTGCCTCCCGGGCCCCTTCAATAAGCCTGCTAGGCCCGGGTGCCAAGCCCTCCCCGGCCAGATCTGTTTTGTCTCTTGCTAGGCTGAGTCACATAGAATAGATAGATAATCAGCACATGTCCTCCAGATCATATTATCCGCTTACAAATATAGCCTGTTAGCGCACAGGCACGGTAGTCCTTCCGCTGGTGGTGTTGCTCTGCGGGTGTAAACAGCATCGAAAGCGGATTTACAGCGTGGCAGCCGCGGCCGGCCGGAGACTGCCAGCACCCCCGGCACCGGGAAGGTGAGTGGCGGGTGGTCTCGGCCCCAGCGGCAGAAGGGTGTGAGCTTAGCGGGTGTGAGCGCCCGTCCTGCGACTGCGCAGGAGCCGAGTGGGCATCGCGGCGGCTTGGGGGGGGGCACCCGCCACCGCGCCTGCGTTGTGGCTCTGGCTGTTTACGGCTTCACCTGGTGCGCGGCGAGCACGGAGAGGACCAGGCTTTGAAGCGTCCTTAGTTCAAGAACCACAATTGAGTGGGGCGTCAGGGAGCTCGTGGGGTGCACGGGTGCTCTCAGGTGGGCAGCTGTCGGGACACAGGAATCCTCCTGGTTCTTTCGAGGGGACCACCCAGGTGCCCAAGACTGAGTTCCAAAGTGCTGTCCAGGGGGCGATAAATCATTTCTGTTTGTGCCCTCTCCTTGGAAAATATGCTTGACGTCTAACAAGGAGGGAGGGTGGGCGAGTGGTCTTTCCTAAAGCTTCGCGCGCCCCCTGGTGTGGGTGGGGCAGGGGTTGGGGCAAGGGAGGCAAAGTGATTGGCAACCCGAAAGAGAATTAATTGTCCAGGTCTGTAAGCAGCCCAGGTGAGGCGGCTTCTCGGCTGGACCGTCTCCAGGGCCTGGGGCGGCCTCCAGTCACCGGTCCCATGGAAGTGGCTAACCGAGTCGAGTTGGGAAAAGCCCCTTAATGCCCACGGACCTCTGTTGTGTCAGTTGGTTGCTTGTTTTCAAACAGGGTCTCATGTACCCAGGGTGGGGAAGGAACCTAGGGTTTCCTGCATGCTAAGAACGCTAACTGAGCCACACCTTGGTTTTCACCTCTTGTTTATATCTTACATTTAGTTGATGACCAATGGCCTGTCTCCATTTCTTTTCTTTGGTTAATTGGCACCACCACCCTCCCAAGCCTTACGGGGTGACAGGTCCCATCCTAAGCGCACTTGATCCAGTGATTACAGGGTGCTCTCTCACCATGCCTGGGAGCCGGGTGCTGCGGCTGTATGTTGTCCACATGAAAATTCAGCGGCTCTGTCCTCAGGGATATGTGAGCAGTAAGCCAGGAGGCAGCATTCCAGCCTGGGCCATCTGACTCAGGCCCTGTCCTCTTAATCCTTTCTATGCCCTTTGTCTCCTGACTTGAGCTTGTAGTTTAACAAATTACCCTAACAATAATCAAATGTCCCAAGGGAAACTCAGACCAGGCAGCATAAAAAGTAATTAAGTTTAGAACTCAACTGAGATGCAGCGGTGGCGATTCTGACCTTACTTTAAACTTTACCGCCCCCCCCCCGCCCCGTTCTATTGGAAAACTCATTCTGTTTTCCAGCTATGGAGTATAGCTCCCCTCCCCCGCACCTTGGCGTCCTGAGCAGTTCCTATTGGAGGGAGCTGGACTGACGAGAGAGCATCTTCCCATACAGGATACCTAGAAGGAGCCCTTGGAAGGCTGGGAACTTGGCTCTTCAGGAGTTAGGGCAGGAAGAGCAGGTGGGATGTTATGAGAGTTGTTAGGGGCCGAACTTGGGCCCCAGAACAAGCTAGGCTCAGCTGGTGTCCTTGATAGGCTGGTACAGAGCAGAAAACCCGATGTATTCAGTGTGGCCATATTGGAAATAGAACAAGGAGTCTCTGAGGCACTCCCCTCCCAGGCCCATCTTCACAGCCCTGACGTGAGGTTGGAGTGGAAAGAAAAGCTAAGAGGTATTGCACAGCTATGCTGTCCTGGTCATGTGATCCTGCCCATCACCTAGGCTCCAATGTCTACTGCAACATGATCTGACACGTTGTCAGAACTGTGTGAAATCTTCTGAGATACAAGTTCCTCCTTTTTGAGATACAAAAAAAGGTGGGGCCAGATCTTAGCCTTCTCTTTCTCCCAGCATTATCGGGAGAAATCCCAAATTTAGGGAGAGGGCCAACTGTCTCAGTAGATGACAGTCAAAGGTAAGAGGCACAAGTATCTCTTTAGGATATCTTCATTGCAGCCAGATGGTCACAGGGAGCCAGGTACCTGCTGTCCCCGGCACCTACTTTCCCTCTCCTTCCTTTGCTCCTGCCTCTCTCTGTACCCACAAAGGGAGGATCAGCATGGGAGATTTTGTTGGGTCTCCTCCAAGCTCCTCCAGATATTTCCCATGATGCTCTGAGCTGTTAGCTTGGTGCCCACTCCATACCTCCAGCCCCCCTAAGCCCTTGACAGCCCAGTTTATCAGTTGACAGGGGGGAGGACTAGGTGACCTGAATGTTCCCTTCCTCTCCCCTGGCATATAACTTCTGAGTGGAGACCAGAGCTCTGGTGCCAGGGGACACATTTTTCCAGTCATGCCCTCTGGCTCTGGGGAGCCAATGCTATTGTAAAGCGATTCTGATATTAACTGGGTTTGGGTGGACATGGAAAGTTTGTCACCTAACCCTGCATTGATGGTTGTGTTCCCTGTCACTCCCAACAACGCTCCCACCCCAGCTTGCCAGTTGTCCACACCCCCAGGGGGCTTCTCTTGTGGCTCCATGGCATTCTGTTCAGCCTCAGACTTAGATTCCCTGATTCAAGTGCTGAGCCGAAATACATCCCAGCATGCAGGAGGTCTGGTATTCTCCCTGACAGCCTGGGGATGGACATCCCCAGGTGTGGTAGGGACATCATTCTTTTCATTTTCTGGCTTCCATGGGCACTACAAGCCTATGGTGCACAGATGTAGATACAGGCAAAACACTCACACACAAAAAAGTAATAAAGCCTGAAAATCTGACCTGTTGGTACAGCCCTGTTCTGCACCTCCACCCCAGGAAGCTCCTCCCAGCTTCTCATGCTGTAGATGCAGTGAGCTTTACTTGGGTACTTTGGTTGACTTTTAAAAAGTTTTCATTTTAATTTAAGATACTGTTTATTATTGTTTTTGCTGTGTGTGTGTGTGTGTGTGTGTGTGTGTGTGTGTGTGTGTGTGTGCAGGTCACACGTGTGCCATGCCATGAGTTTGAAGGTCAGAGGACAAGTTTTGGGGAGTTGGTGTTGCACCATGGACTCTTGGGGTGGGAGAATATAAAAAGGGTTTTACATTGCTCTACTTTTTAATGGCTTTTTGTCCCCAAAAGTGAGTTTCTATTTCTTGAAATGCAGATCGTTTCTCCTTGTCTTTGTAGCATCTCCCTGTACCCATCATACAAGAAACAGTGGTGACTGAGGTGCCCACCCTTACCCCAGCCAATTGACAATTCAGTTATTTTCATAGAGGAATTGCACTTCTAAGTTCAGTTCCCAGTTCCCATATCAGGTGACTCAACCGTCTGTAACTCTGGCTCCAGGGCAATCCAAAGCCTCTGGGCTCCTTGGGTACTAACACATACCTACACACCTGTGTATGCATGCGTGCAGGCACAAAAGGATTTCTTCAACTTTATTTTATGTACACTGATGTGAAGGTATCAGATCCCCTGAAACTGAAGTAACACCCAGCTGTGAGCTGCCATGTGGGTGCTGGAACTGAGCCTGTGTCCTCTGGAAGAGCAGCCAGTGCTCTTAACCACTGAGCCATCTTTCCAGCCCCATATACACTTTTATTTATTTATTTTGAGACAGGGTTTCTCTGTGAAGCCCTGGCTCTCACTTTGTAGGCCAGGCTGGCCTCGAACTCAGTGAGCCTGCCTCTGCCTCCTGAGTGCTGGGATTAAAGGTGTGTGCCACCAGGCTTGACTTGTGTGCATGTGTTTCACAAACCCAGTCTATGTGCATATGAAGCTGACATATGTATTTTTTTTTTTTATAGGTAACTTTATGCTGCTTCCCAAATGGGACACAAAGTGGTCGTGTTTGACATTTCTGTTGTCAGAGCCTTGTGGGAAACTCGTGTCAAGAAGCACAAAGCATGGCAGAAGAAGGAGGCAGAAAGGCTGGAGAAGAGTGCACTGGAGAAGTAAATTTTGG